GTTCTCAGGCCTGTGCGAGACCTGCTTTGAGGCAGTAACTCCTGTTTCTTCACTCGAGGTGACCCCTACACTGTCAACGCTCTCTGGTTTCATTTAAAAGAGTCCATCATCAGATATTGTCCAAGATTAACCTTCAGGGTGGATATAGCTCGCTAGCAGCCTCGCACCGAGGACCTATCCACGTCATCATTTACCCAGAATGCTTTGTGTAGAAATAAAATGGCTCCGTCCGTGTTAAAATATATTTTTAAAAATTTCCAAAACTAAAACAGCCTACAGTATTTTTACAGTTAAAATATATGTTTATCAAATAAAGTCTAATGTTACAACTTATCAGGGATCCCTTTAAAAGTTGTTATAAACCAAGCCTTCACCAGCTTTAGCTGAGAGCTGCTACACTTGGTTTATGGAAAAATAAAATAAAAACCTCTAACAGCTGCAGTCTCTGTGACACTGCAGAATGTCACCGAGGGATGCTGCTTGTTTAAGTCAAATCTGAATTTGTTGTTTTTTTGTGTTTTGACAGTGCAGGAGGATACACTACAGTTTGTTCAGACCTTGAATCTTTTGAAATTGCTCAGTATAACAGAAAATTTTCTGCAGAAATGTGGAGGAGCGCAGATGATGCATTTGCTGCCAAAACATATCAACCTTACTTTTCTCTGAAAGAATATTATGACAGGAAGAATGGGGGAAATCTCAGCTCTTCTACCAGTGGCTCGTTTGGTCATTATGGTAACAAGTCTCTGTCAGACCCTCGTTATTTAGAGGCAAACTAAAACTTAACCTTCAGTCAGTTGTTGTGCAAAAATTATAAGTCAGATCCTGTAAAAATCGACAGAGAACTCTGATGGTTCATACGTGTCAATTTTATGTTCTAGTGTTCATGTGGGGAACATGACAACCCTTAGCAAAAAGTATTATACTTGAAGTTCCTTTTAATAAGTATATACATGAGTATAAGTTATGTACTTGTAGAGTACTAGAAAGCATATTGATTTAAAACTTGTTCATAGTAAATTGGGACATTTACTTTAAGTATACTGTTATGTTTTTTCAAGTTCATAAACTTACCAAAAAGAAGTATATTTTAAGTACATGTCATTAAGTATACTGAAGTATACAAGAGTGTATTTCCCTAAGTGTACTTTTATTTACCATGTAAACAGATATAAGTATACTAGCAGTTTACTAACAAATACACTTCTAGGACTAAACTGACCCACAAAAAGTTTATGAAAGTATACTCAGAGGTATACTGAAATTTATTTAAGTATAGTTTAAACTTGAAATATACTACAAATAAACCAGTCTGAGTGAAAAGTGTACTATTAAAGTTTATCTTGACCAAAAGTTTAAACATTAGCATAAACTAAGTATACTTAAAATTTTAGTGTACTTTTAGTACCAGCAAAGTATAGTGTAAAATAAAATCAAAAAAAAAAAAGTAGGTCCTCTGGATGGTTCTTCTTTAGTGAAACATTTCGTCTTTCCTCCAAGAGACTTCTTCAGTCTGATGAGTTTCAGGTGAACTCAGCCTTATAAGCTCCGCCTCCACATGGACAAACAGGTTAGTCACATGCAAAAGAGGGCCATTGCCTAACAATAAGCTTGATTAGCTCTATTGTTCATAGAGGGTCATGTGCCCCATCACCTGACCTGTGTCGTGTTATGTGTATGTAGTGAATGCAGGCGGGGCTCAAAGTCCCCTTGTTTTTGTTTTTTTCCCTCTTTGTGTTGGTATCGTTGGGGCCCTGATTCACACCTTTTGCTCACAGGGGGCGGAGTCAT